ATATATTTGAATCCTCTGCATGTTAAGTGGGGTTTGGTATAATAGGGTTAACTATGATTTCTGTAGTAAAAGTTTCTGTGAGAGGCATTGCCAAAAGTATGGAAGTAGTGACTCTGTTACCATGCCAGTGAGTCATACAGCATGACTCACTCGACACAAAGCCACATACTGATTTCATTATTATATTCATATAATACTTATTGTTACAGTATGCCTATGCCACGACAACACTTGCGATAAATTGATCGAAAGTACCCGATACAACTCTGAATATACAGAGACTGCAAATGATAATAAACACAAGCCTGAAAACTACGAGTCTTGGATTGGCACTTTAATACAAACTTACTCGTACTTCGCACCCATTTAAAACATGCACCGAAGACGCCCCTCCCAATGAGCAACGCTCCAAAGCGCCTCGGAGTTGAAGCTCTGCGGAATTCCGCTAAACGCTTTTCCTGTCAGGAACCGGTGCGAACTTGCGCGAAACCCACAGAGGCTTTAGAGACCGAACTTCGCGGTCTCGCAAGTGGGCTTCCCTGGCTCAAGCGGGTCTCTTGCCTTAGCTCGACTGGCCGGGAAAGGAGCTACTGACCTGGCATTATGGCGGCAAGGCAGGAAGCGTCTTTGTCCCGCGGCTAGCGAGCCCTGCCTTCCGCGCTGCCTCGGGGGCGTCTCTCGAGCCTTCCGAGAAGCTAGGAGGCCCCCGGCTGTGCGGCTCGGCTTTCCTGCAAGCCTACCAGAAGCTGCGGAGGAGGAAGTGGGATAGGAGCCGCCGCCCGGCCAGCAAGTTTCTTTCCTCCCCGCTTGTCCTCCCAAGACCTGGCCTGGGGATTGGAAAAGCCGAGTCGAAACTCTCGCATTCCGCCTCGCGGCTGGCTCTGAAGCATTGCTGTTTTGGATCGAGAGAGAGAGAGAGAGAGAGAGAGAGAGAGAGAGAAAGAAACGGAATTCTGTTCCTTCTTTAAGTTTGTTTAAGGCTTGTTTAGGAGACAAACTATGTACCGTATTTGCCGGCGTATAAAACGAGCCCCCAACATTTCCACTCAAAATATAGAGTTTGTTATATACTCGCCGTATAAGACGACCCCCCCACTTGGAGGCATGTTTTTCAGGGCAAAAAAGTCGTCTTATACGCCGGCAAATACGGTATATTAATATCAAATTATATAAGAAAGTTAATAATACCACTGTGAAAATATTGTCATGTTTGGTTTAAAATGTAAGGCACCCTGGAACCACACTGTTCACACAATGATGTGTTTATAGAAACAAAAAAATAAAAAAAAATGTATTAAAAAAAGATAAGAGTGAAAATAGAACGGGCAGAGTGAGAAGTAGCAACAGCAAAAGAACTCAGAGAAATAAGAGAAACCAGAAGTATAAGACCTATATATATAAGAAAACAATGCAAGAAGAAACAAAGATGCTATCAGTCAATATAAATGGGCTGAACTCCCCTATGAAAAGAAAGAAAATATTTTTAAAATTACAAAGATTAAAATTGGACATAATATCACTTTACCACTAATATGAATCCAGCATGGTGCTCGCTGAAGTGCCTGAACTCCCACTGACGGGATGGGGCCCTTCAAGAGCCTAACTGTTTCTGCAACCTTAAATACTCAAAGAGTCCTTTGGACACTTTTCCCACAGAAAACAAATCATCAGGATCTCTCTCCCTCTCTCTTTCCCTCCCTCCCTTTCTTTCTCTCTCTCTCTCCCTCTGTCTCTCTCTCTGTATATGTGTGTGTGTGTCTTCTCTTTCTGAAGACCGGATGGCTGGTAGGGAGGTGGGGCAATACTGCAGTCTCCCTAGCAAACCTGTATTGTGGCTGTTGCCTCCTGCCTCTGCACGTTGAGGAGGCTGAGCAACAGTGAAAAGAGTGCAGACCTCCTGAGCCGCAGGAAACGGTTGCCAGTGATGCCCTCAGGTGAAAATATTGCAAGGAGGAGGCTTGACCCCTCCCCTCAGGAGCCGCAAAGCGCTCACCACCCCTCTGGTTCCTGCCAAGCCTCCTCCTTCCCACTGGGCATGTGAGCACTTCTGGCAAGGAGAAAGAGAAGCATGGTGGGAGGAGGCTTGGTGGCTGCCAGACAGTGGCGAGTGCTTTGCGCTCCTGAGGGGAGGGGTGTGTCACCTTCATATCTTATAGTTGATTCCCTTTAAATATTCTACTCCTAAATTATCCCATTAAACAATTATAATTTCCATCACCTAATATATTATAACATAAATCCCTTTTTAGACAGATTCTGCATGGTACTTCCCCTTTAAATTACTTCTAACCAATTTTAAGTTTAAAAGAAATAAAAAATAAATAAAACAGTAGAGATTAATTAATCAATTCAAATTCATCCTAAAGAAAAAACTGGTATTAATTCCCTTATAATCCTTCTCATAATTCATTTCAATCACATTTTATAAATCCTTAATATATATTAATATAATTCAATTGTATTTTACATATTTTTGTTTTTTATTTGATCTACCTGTTATCATACATTCCATTAAGTAACAATCCGTTTAATCTTCCATTTTAATTATATATATGTTCCTGTTTTCTACATAATTTCTTATTTATAAAATATTTATAAAATCCCTTATCACCATGCAGAATCTTCTATTTTAGTTGTAATTTTAACCATTATCTCTGTGCCTATCAATTAAACTATTCCCTTTAATTCTTGTTTTCCATATTTCTTTATTTCCTGTTTCTGTTTTTTTGTAACTTCTTTTCCCCTTTATTTTCCTCCTCTTTTTCTCACTCCAATTTTTGTCCCCTCCCTCTTCCTTCTGTAATCCTCCCTTCTGCTCTTTCCTTATATTTTGTTTATTCCTCACACTGTTCCTTTTTCTGATTACTTCCTCTAATCTCCAGTTTTAAGTCCCTTTCCCCCTTTTTGAGTTTCAAACCTCGTTGTCTCGATTTTTTTTATTATTAAAGATCACGTTTCCTTTATTCAAGTCTTCTTCTTCCTCTGAAGCTTTTTGCTGATCCTCATAGTCCAAGACTGCCATTTTCAGGGATTGCAGAACAAAGCCAAATAATTCTCCTTTCACTTGAAATTATTCCTTCATATTTTTTAGTTCCATTTTCAGTTCCAAATAAAGTTCTGCCATCTTTCAACACTTCCCAGTACTTTTAGACAACTAAATTCTATAAGATTGCTTCCCAGAATTAATTTCCAAAGTTTCCAAAATCATCAAACAATTCCAGAACAGTTTCTTCTTGCTTCTTTCTTTGTTACAAAGTTCCAAACTCCATCTTCACTTTCCAGGGGCTCTATTTGATTGTAGCAACATTTCATTTAATTTGTTATTCTTTAAAAGTCTTTTAAAAGTTGACATTAATTTCTTTCAGCATCAGCTACTCTTTAGTATGTCCAAGTTCCACCCCCTTTTTTCAGATCTCCCCCCCCTTCTGTGCCACAGCTTTAAAAATCTTTTCCTAAGAGTTCTTAAGTATTTTAGCTCCAGAGTACCTTGTATTCAGATGTTAATCCTGCTTAGCCTGTTCACCCAAGCTGTCCTCTTCTCTCTACTCCTTGTCTGGTCAGATCTTCCTCTTTGGGATGGCCATTTTGGCCATCGATGTATCCGCCTTCGGAGGGGAGTTTTATGCCTCACCAAGGAGGGGAAATGCGGCTCCCCACAACTCAGCTGGTGTTTTCTCCTTTCTCCGCCACCTCTACAGGGTGGCTTCGGCCCCAAATCAGGTAGATAGGGGCCCTCCAGTGGCAAGCACAAACTGAAACCACGGACGGTCGTGGATTCGGTCCATCAGTGAGGGAGCCTAACCAGAACTCAATAATCCAAAAGATTTTTGATTGTGCGGAAATGAACAAACTTACATTAGAACTAAAAGAGAAGAAGACTCAGATTATTATACAGTTTGAAAAAATTGGTATCTTTGGATAAATAATAGAAACAAGCAATCAAATAAATAAGGAATGTATAGTTTAGAAAGATAGAGGTGTATATATATGTGTGTGTGTGTGTGTGTGTGTGTGTGTGTGTGTTTATACATACATACATATATACATACATACATACATATGAACAATTAGGAGTATAAAATATGCACTGGAATAATATTTGAAATGTAACTACTATCAAAATGGATTGTAATATACATAATATTTTCATTTTAAATATCTATATTGTATTTTGTATTTTAATGTTTTAAAGTTTTAATAAAGGATTTTACTAGCATGTGGCTGAAACCCCCACACATCTGCTTAATAGAAAAGTTTATTTAATGTTTTAATTTTTGCTGTCTACAGAGATTTTGACTGTTTGATATAAATTTATTAATTAACAGTTTTAAATAGTACATTATGTTTGCTGCTTTTAAAATCTTGTTAGAACGTGAATGGAAATATTGGAGATAGAATAGTAATATTAAAATTCTGGTTTTTAATGCAGGATTTTTAAAGTAATATTTCTGAAACATGCATTTATGTCACAATCATTATAGATAGAAGTTTATTATTGTAAATTAATCTGGAATATTTTACCTTAGAGGCTTGTTACCATATATTATTGATTTTTTTTTAAATAACCATAAAGAATTTTTGTTAGTGACTAGAAAGTGTGTCATGTTGGAGTTAAAAAAGATTGTGAAACCAAAGTAACACAATTTAAAATAATACAGGCTATAAACTTGATTTTTCCCCCCAAAAATTACAATATTAACTGATTTAATTTTTAAAAAAATCTTCCATTTTAAAACATATTACACCATCATGCATAAAATCACGTTAGATTTTAACTTAAATCATAATTATACAATTATTCTAAAAACTACTGGAGTGATTAAAGAGGAATGTCAAAGAGAATTTCCAATACCTCAATTCTCAATAACTCACTCAATAATTCCTAGAATTCTTGGGACAAGCCATGACCAAACTGAAGATTTGTGGTAGAGTTAAGACCATGAATTTTCAAAAATACTGGAAGGGAAAAGGATAAAAAAAGATTTGTGCTTTAGTAGTACCTGGATGTTTTCTGCTTTTCCTTCAATGTAATCCATGTTGCTTTCAGTAACTTCATCAGTAACTTCATCAGTAACAGCAACTTCACCACCTTCATTTGTAGAAGTGGCATCAACACACTCAGTTTCAGTAGGACTTTCAATTACTGAGTCCATCTGCAACTAATAAGAAAGGTAAAACTCTTTGTTATTCACATAGATCCTTTTTAATATCCAATCCTATAATAAATAAAAGAGTTTTTAAAAGAAAGTGCAGACAAAATCATGGGATAAAGGTTTGCCTAATGACTTTCAATGAAGACATGTCTTTTGCCATCAATATACTGTATAAAGGAGGATGCCTCTCAGTGCCACTTGCTGGAAGGTATAGCATATATTTCTTCTTAGCATATGTAATTCTTCTCCTGGAGATTTATTTATTTATTCTTTTAAATAACAGTTTTTATTAAAATTAAGCTTTAAAAACATTGAACGTGGTGGTCTTTTTGACATATATCTCAGTCTTTACATTGTTATATAAGCAAAATATCATCAAACAATAAAAAATTTATATACATATATACAACTATATACATATTTACATTTGATCTTTATATTGATTTCTATCCTAGACATTATGTTGCGATACAATCTCTTCTTAAATTCTAGTTCACATTTTTAGACTTCCTTTCATATCCCTCCATACATAGAAATTTTCCCATTCCTTCAATTCTAACGTCATACTATCTAATTCAGTGCATTGAAAAATCTTTTCTATTATTGCTTCATCATTCGGTATTCCTTTTAACTTCCATGTTTGGGCAATTAGTAATCTTGCAACTTTAATAACATGAATGATTAGGTAAATATCTTCTTTTTAAAAATTCTCATTTATTATTCCCAATGAAAACATTTCTGGTGTATAATTTATTTTTAAATCCAACATTTCTTCTAGCCATTGTCATATTTTGTGCCAGAATTGTATTTTCTTGCACTCCTACCACATATATGTGCTATGTTATTTCAATCATTTCCAGCATGTAGGTGATTGAGAGCTATACGTTTTGGCTAACCTAGCAGATGGAAGATGCCATCTGTAAAACATCTTAAACAGGTTTTCTTTGTAGGATGTGGCTAATGTAATCTTTTTATTCTGGTCCCAAATTTGCTGCCATTGATCCAAATTTATGTTATAGCCAAAATTTCTAGCCCAAGTTAACACTGGTTCTTTAACCTGCTCCTCATACATTTTATAATCTAGTGAATAGTTATATAATTTCTTTGTTTGTTTCTTCTCTGATCCTAATAATATTTTATCTAATATTGTATCTTGACAGTTAATTCCCCATTCTTTTTTACTCCCTTCATATCTAGATTGTACTTGGAGATATGCCCACCATTCCAATGTTAAACCCTTCTGGTTAAGTTCCATTCTTTGTTTTGCCTTTTTCTGGTTGTAGAGATTCAGACATGATATGGCTTCTGAGGAGGAGAACCAGTTTGGAGTTTCCATATATCTTTGCAATCTTATTTTATTCCAAATTAAGATTAGAGCTCGTCAGATTTTATGCCTCAAAAAATATTGGTGTGTCGTATGTCTACTGGGCCACAAATACGCATGCCAGCCCTGTTGTAAATCATGCCCTTCTAAAAGTAAAAGTCTTTTATTATCCAAATTTATCCAATCCTTAATCCATGTTAAGGCAGCTGCTTGATAATACAGTTTCCAATCCAGAAAGCCTAATCTCCCCCTCTTTCTTTTGTGTCTTGTAAATGTTTTAATTTGATTCTTGGTCACTTACCCTGCCACACAAAATTTAATGTTATTTTATTCAGATCTTTTAAAGAAAATTTCCCCTAATTTAATTGGTATATTTTGGAATAGAAACAAAGGTAGTATGTTCATTTGATTGCCTAAATTCTGCCTATTAATCATAATTGAAGATTATTCCAATTTTCTAAATCTTTTTTAATATGTACTAATTTCTCATAATTTTCCTCCTTTATTGTTGAGCAATGTACTGAGATATTGATTCATAAATATTTCATTTTTGTACTTTTTGAATATCTAATAACTTAATGAGGTTTTCTTTTTGTTTGCTGATCATGTTCTTAGTTATGATTTTTGTTTTTTCTTTATTTATTTTCAAACCAGCCACCATATTCTTCAAGTTTTTCTAATAATTTTGGACCTGTTTGTTCAGGGTCTTCCAAGAAAAATACTAAATCATTAGCATATGCTTGCAATTAAAAATTTTCTTTTTAAATTTCCAATCCTTGGATCTGGAGCTCTTGCCTAATTATTCTCGTTAAGACCTCTAATGTATATATGAATAGTAATGGGGACAAAGGGCAGCCTTGTTTCATGCCTTTTTGTATATGAAAGTTACTTGTCAATTCTTCATTTAGTATTATTTCTGATTCTTGTTGTGTGTATATTGCCATAATTATTTTTAAAAACTTTTCACCAATATCCATGTGTTTTAATTGTTGTAATTTAAAACGGCCAATTTATGTTGTCAAAAGCTTTCTGGGCATCTAGAAATAACAGGGCTGCCTGTTAATCGCTATGTTCTTCATAAAATTCAAGAGCATCTAAAACTATTCTCACATTATATTTTGTTTGTCTATTTGGGAGGAAGCCGTTTTGATCACTATGTATGAATTCATTTAAATAATTTTTAAATCTCTCAGCAATAATCGTTGTAAATATTTTGTAATCTGTATTTGAGATATTGGCCTGTAATTTTGAATTCTTGTCTAGCCTGTACCTTCTTTTTAAATCAACACTATATTGGCCTCTCTCCACGATTTTGGTATTTTCCCTTCATAAAACACTGCGTTGAAGACCTCTAATAAATATTGATTCAGGGTATTCTGATGTTCTTTGTACAGCTCCATAGGAATACCATCTGGGCCAGATGCTTTGTTATTTTTTTGTTTGTTGATTGCCTTAGCTACTTCTGTCATAGTAATTTCTTCATTAAGCATTGATTTCATAGCTTCTGGAATCTTTGGTAGTTCAGCCTTCCTTAAATAAGTCCTAATCTTTTCTTCTGAGTAGCTTTCGTTTCTTGTATATAATTTCGCCTAGAACCTCTGGGCAATATCTTTTTTGGAGTTCTCGTCATAATATATATTCCCTTCTTCATCTTGTAGTTTATTCATTGTTTTTCTCTGTAATTTCTTAATTTTTGTGTCAGCCAACATCCAGATTTATTGGCGTTTTCAAAATAATTTTGTTTGGTTAGTTTGATTTGTTGTGCTAGTCTCTCTGTCTTCAAAATACGTAGTTTATGTTTAAGAAGATCTAATTCACTTTTCAGATTTTTGTTATTGGGTTCTTTCTGGTGTAGTACCTCAATTTGCCTATGTTCTTGTTTTAATTTTTCTTGATGTTCTTTTTTTGCCTTATTTCTTTTTGCTGTATAGGAAATTGTTACACCACGTACGTATGCTTTAGCGGTGTCCCAGAGCAGCGATCGCCAACCGGTGGGGCGCAGCCCACAGGTGGGCCGCAAGAAAATTTTGGTGGGCCTCAGAGAAATGTCACCCCCAGAGCACTGCCCAAAGAAATTAATCTAGGCTGTGCAGAAACACAAGGCTGTGCCGCCCACATGGCCCATGGGAACCCTCCCCGCCCATTCACTCCTTACCTGGCAAATTTGCCTGCTAAATTGCTATTTTTCCTTTCTTTTCTTTCCAACTATCAGCTGTTCTGCTGTGCTGGGAGATTTAGATTAGCTAGAAAGCAGGAAATGGTTGCATTTCTTGCTTTCTAGCTAGTCTTTAGATCTTCAGCTCTGCTTTTAAGCACAGCCGAACCTCCCTTAGGATTGAAGCTTCTATTATTCAGTGCAGACTCATGGCAAGTAAATTTTATGTGTTAGACTCAGGCAGCCGAAGGCAGATAGATAGATCACTGAATAATTCTGTGAGCAACTCAATCTGCCTGCCTGCTTTGCCTGATTTTGGGTAAAAGTTGCTCTTTTTTAATAAAAAAATCAATATTAACATACATGGTGTGTTGTGAGTTAATTTTGTGAGTTTACTGGCTAGCAAATTTTATGAGTTTGCTTGCAAGCAAATTTTATGTGACAGACTTAGGTAACCGATCGCAGATAAATAGATCTCTGAATGAATCTGTGATTCTGTGAGCAGCTCAATCTGCCTGCCTGCTTTGCCTGATTTTGGGTAAACGTTGCTCTTTTTTAATAACAAAATCAATATTTATATAAATATTTATAATATTTACATACAAGCTGTGCCCAACCAGTCACATGACCACCAAGCCACACCCACATATTAGGTCACACCCACAGAACCGGTTAGTGGTCCTGGGATTTAAAATTATGAATTTGGTGGTCCCTGAGGTCCCAAAGATTGGCGACCCCGTCCCAGAGAGCATGTATTGAAATATTGTCTTGTTTATTTAATTTTAAAAAGATATCCAATTCTTTTTCCATCATTATATTGAATGCCTTTTCTTTGAGAATTGCCCTTTGAAAAGTCCATCTTGGTATGGCCTTATGTCCCTTCCACTGTAAACTTATGGGGTTATAATCGGCCCAGGTATTAGTCTCTATAGTCACTTTTTGTATTTCGGAATCTAAGTCTGTTGATATCCAGACTATGTCAATCCTAGACCAGGCTTTATGGCAACTAGAATAAAATGTGTAATAATTTTCTTCATTGTTCCTTTCTCTCCAAAGATCTATCAAATTTAGATATCTAATCATATCAAAAATGTTTTGGGGAGTATTCTTCCCCCCCCTTTCTTGTATCATTATGTTTGAGGTCTCTTTTCCTATCTACAATTGCATTGAAGTCCCCACTATACATAACCCATCATATTCTATATCTCTGATTATGTTATGAAGATTTTTATAGAAGAGTTCTTGGGCTCCATTTGGTGCATATATTGAGGCAATTATATTTTTGTTGTTTAGTTTAATCTCAACTACTAAAATTCTCCCTTCTTTATATCTGTAAATCTTTTTTGCCTTAATCTTATTTTTCACATAAAAAGCCAGACCCTTTTTTCCCCTTCTGATCTATTGATACAAACAGGTTCCTTAACTTAGGTTGTTCTAGTAGATGTTTTTGATCATTTCTTATATGGACTTCTTGCAAAGCAATTATATCGGTTTTCAATTTTTGTAGTTTAGCTAATATTTTTTGAT